CTTCCTTATTCACTGTCCAGATTTCACATGTACATGAGGTGATTCAAAGTATCACGGCTCGGGGACAGGCCCATTTTAGTCCTCAAACTGACATCGTTGTTCTTAAACACTTTAAAGCGGTTTTGTGCAGGAGATTCACCTAATGCAACATATCCTTTGATTTCTTGGTTGCCGTTAATAGTGGATCCAAGCAAAATGAAATCCTTGACAATCTCAATCTTTTCTCCATTTAAAATGTTGTTGTTTATTGGTCCAGGGGTGAGGACTGTTATTTTCTTTACACTGAGTTGAAAGCAATGAGGGTCAGCCTTTGAGTAAGCAAGGTTGTGTCATCTGCAGGTCACCAGTTATTCATGAACCTTCTCCTCCAATCCCGATGGCATGCTTCTCTTCATATAATCCAGTGTCTCAGATTGGTTCAGCATTGAATAAGTATGGTAAAAGGACACAACTCTGACACACATCTTTCCTGATTTTAATGCAGTAGCCTCTTCCGGCTAAATGATTGTCTCTTGGTCTCTGTACAAGGTTCCTCATGAGCACAATTAAGTGTTCTGCAGTTCCCATTCTTCACAATGTTATCCAAGTTTGTTATGATCCACACAGTCTAACGCCTTTGTATAGTCAATACAGGACAAGTAAACAGCTTTCTAGTACTCTCTGCTTTTGATCAAGAGCCATCTTATGTCAGCAATGATATGCCTAGTTCCACATTCTCTTCTGAATTCAGTCTGAATTTCAAGCAGCTCCCTGTGAATGTGCTCCTACAATCGTTTTTTTGAATTATCTTCAGTAAGATTTTACTTGTATGTAATAGTAATGATATTGTTTGATAATTTCTGTATTACAATGGACTACCTTGGGAAAGGACACAAATATGGATCTCTTCCAGTTGGCTTATCAGGTAGCTGTCTTCCAAATTTCTTGGCACAGAACAGTGAGTACTTTCTGTACTGCCATCAAGTTGTTCAAACATTTAAATTGGTATTTTATCAATTCTTGGTGCTTTGTTTTTCACTAAGGTCTTGAATGTAGCCTAGACGTCATCCTTCAATACCACCTGTTCTTGATCATATGTGAACTCCTAATATGGCCGAACATAAATCTTTTTGGTACAGTGAATCTATTCTTTCCAGCTGCTTTTAATACTTCCTGCATCATTCACTATCTTGCTCAAAGATTCCTTTAATAGTGCACAAGAGTCAAGATTTCAATTTTTTTTTTAAGTTCTTTCAGCTTGAAAAATGCTGAGCATGATCTTTTTATGATTTTCTAATTCTACAGTTTTGCACATTTCATTATAATACTTTACTGTCTTCTCAAGCTGCCCTATGAAATTTTCTGTTCAGCTCTTTTCTTTCATCATTTCTTCCAGTCACGTGAGCTATTCTATGTTCAAGAGCAAGTTTCAGAGTCTCTTCTAACATCCATTTGGTGTTTTCTTTCTTCACTATCTTTTCAATGACCTTTTGCTATCTTCATGCATGATGTTCTTCATGACCCCACAAAAGCTCTGGTCTCTAGTCATTAGTGTTTAATATGTCAAATTTGTTTTAAGATGGTCTCTAAATTTAGGTAAGACATACCCAAGGTTAAGGAGTTCTAGTATTGGAGTCCTGGCATGGTGCTGTGGGCTAATGTGTCAGACAGCAAAGTCGCTTGGACTGCAAGGTCAGTGTTTCAAGCTCACCAGATGCTCCTTGGAAACCCTATACAGGGTCGCTATGGGTCAGAATCGACTCAACAGCACTTAACAACAAGTATCGTAGTGGTTACGAATTGGGCTGCTAACCCCAAGGTCAGTAGTTCAAAACTACCAGCTGTTCCATGGGAGAAAGATCAGAATTTCTGCTCCTGTACAGCCTTGGAAACCCTATACAGGGTCACTATGAGTGGGCGTCAATTCCACAGCACAGAGCCACCACCAGAACCGACTCCACAGCACATAATCACCACCAACCACCATATTGGATTGTGGTTCTTATGGACTTGTTTGAATTTTCTTCAACTTAAGGCTGAGTAACTGATGGACTAACACAGTCGTCCCTGGTTTTGTTTTGGCTGATGATATTGAGTTTAGCTGCTATTTCTAAAGTTCTCAGGGGCTAACTCCTAAGACGTGGACCACATTCCTTCTTCCTAGGTTGATCTTCGTCTGGACCTCTGCTGAAGCCTTTCCAGCATGGATAAACCTGCTGGTATTTGAAACACCAGTCGCATAACTCCCAGCTTTACAGCATTATGCAAGCCACCAAGATATGACTGACAGAGGTGTGCAGCATTGAAGAAATTAAAAAATGTAACAGCAACCTGTTGAGTCTTCTCAACTGGCCAACAAGGAGTAAGTTTCCACTTTTCCTCAAAGTGCCAAATATCACATAATATTTAAATAATTATTTTAAATAAAAGATTGCTATTGTTGTTAAGTGTTGTCAAGTGGGTTCTGACTCATAGCGACCCTGGATATGATAGGATGCATTTAATTAGGTTGTTGTTGTTGTTGTTAAGTGCCGTTGAGTCGTGTCCGACCCATAGCGACCCTGTACAGGGTTTCCGAGGGTGTAAATCTTTACGGGAGTAGAAAGCCTGATCTTTCTCCCGCGGAGCAGCTGGTAGTTTCGAACCGCTGACCTTAAGGTTCGCAGCCCGATTCGTAACAGGCTAAAACCTGAAAATACACATTCATAAACAGTAACTGATTGTTATTATTTCAGCATTTTGGAAGCCTGGAAATTAATATTTGTTTGTTTGTTTTTTCCCTAAGAGACCAATGCTCACTCATTCTTTTCAGGAATTTTTGTTCTAAAATTATCTTCTCTTTTAACATAAAATGTAACTCTCTCTTCTTATGAATGCATAGCTTCTGCAAAACTATTATCAGTTAAGTGCAGTTTGAACTTCCGCAACCAGCTATGTATTTGCAATTTGTAATTAGATCAGAGACCACTTAACCCTTTAATCTAACATAAAAACTGTCGTCTCAGTTGTCACTGTGTGTGCCATGGAGTTGATTTCTACTTATACCACTTGTTCTTGAGTGATTCTGACTCTAGATGAGGAAACTTCAAAAAGTTCATGGTAAAATAGAATGAAAAGGTGATGGAATTTCTTCTCAAGTTTTAAAGCCCCCTTGTAAGACAGTGAAATGCACCACAGGGTTATCTATAGGGATCCAAATCATTTTGGATTTGTAGCTTAACATTAAAAATTACCAGTTGCTGTATTAAAGTTGAGGAAACAAAAATACCAATTTCAGGAGGTATCTGGAGGGAGGATTGTTATTGTTGTTGTAAAGTGCCATTGGATCAGTTCCAACGCATACAGACCATGTATAGGGTTTCCAAGGAGCGGTTGGTGAGTTTGAACTGCTGACCTTACAGTCCAGTGTGTTATCCCACAGCACCACACCAGGACTAGAAATCTTAAATCATAGATTTTAGCACCCCAAAAAAAGTGTAAAGTCTCAGGCCCATTTCCTCCCAAAACAAATTAAAATCGAGAAGTAGAGATAAGAACTAAAAACACGAAAATATTTTGGCAAATGATTTCTTCCCCAGTTGAAAATCATTTCCTGAGTGTATTAGGGGACTTTACATGGCTAAGTAGCTCTTGGGAAGTGATTTTCAACAAGGGAGAAGGGAACAAGATGAAAGAAATCACACTTTTGTGATGCTGTAGGACAAGCACTGGACTGCTGACTGCAAGGTTGGTGGCTCAAACCCACCTGCCACTCCTTGCAAACCCTATGCAGGGCCACTATGAGTAAGAGTTGACTCCATGGCATTTAACAACATTTATATACATATGTGTGTGTATATATATATATGTATATGTGCATATACATATATATGTATACGGAGCTCTGGTAGCATAGTGGTTACCAGTCAGGCTGCTAACCTCAAGGTCAGCAGTTCAAAACTACCCCAGCCATTCAGCAGGAGAAAGATGAGGCCTTCTGCTCCCTTAAAGATTTACAGACTCGGAAACCCTATGCAGGTTAGCTATGAGTCAGAACTGACTCCAGGGCACATAACCACTACCACCATATATATGTGCCACCATATATACACATATTTGTGTGTGTGTGTATATTTATGTAGAGACCCGGTGGGGCACTGTAGGTTAATTCGCTGGGCTGTGAAGTTGGTCTGAACTGCAAGGTTGGTGGTTCAAGGTCACCAGTGGCTCCTAGGAATATACAGGTGTCAGAAACAACTCGATGGCACTTAACAACAACATATATATATAACAACACACATATATATAATAACTGTTAGGTGTGTATACAAGTTATGCATAATATTCCTTATAATTTAACAAAGAGTCATTAGCTCCTGAAGGATACCCAAAGCTGCATATAAATATTCTGAATGTCTACATTTTCCATTAAATAAAAACCCCTTCTGTACGCTATTCTGACTTTTGGGAAATTCTTAATTTCCCCCTGCAAAAGATTAGATAACTCATGATTGAATAAACTGTTAAAATGACTAAATCTTACATACCAAACCTGTTGCCTTTGAGTCCAGTCTGACTCATACCAACCCTGTAGAACAGAGTAAAACTTCCCAACAATGCTTCCTAGACTAAAAATATTTACTGAAGCTGACTGCCACATCTTTCTCCCGAGGAGCAGCGGCTGGTACTTTTTAACCATTGCACCACCAGGGCTCCTGAATCTTTTATGGTGTTGTTATTAACTGCTGTCAAGTCAGTTCCAACCCATAGCGACCCAGCATAGGGTTTCTGAGAAGCGGCTGGTGAGCTTGAACCACCGACCTTGCGGTTCACATGGACTTTGCAGTCCAGCGCACTCACTCTAAGCGCCGCCCAGGACTCCCTGAGATCCTACACAAGCTTGCTAAATCCAGGTGCTTCACCGCCCTTCTGGCCTGGCGCGGCGCCAAATAGCGCCTTCAAACACGGGGTCACGCCCTGGATGTTGAGGTCCAAAGGTCACACCTGGGGCAGTGGAACCCTGACTAACCAAGCAGCCTGGAGGGGCTGGGGCGCTTCGCACCGTGCAAAATAGAACGCGAATGGGGGGCGTGAAACATGTGTCCAAAACGCAGAGAGGTAAGGTGGCCAAGACCCCGCTGAACATTACTATAGCCCCCAGAGCTTTAAAAACGATCGCAGCTGAGGTTCCTAACCCAGGACTGAGTCAGCACTGAACCCGCAGCCAGTCCCTTCTCAGCCTTGGTCCTCGCACTCACCAAGAAGCCCACCAAGTAGAGCCCGAGCAAGAAACGGCGGGTTCGGACAGTGTCAGCCCCTGTCCTCCGCTCCGGTCGCGGCTCCGGGGATGCCGAGGCCAGTCCCCGGGCCGACCCCCAGGCTGGGCCGGCCCGAAGCTCCATGTATATGCGGAAAAAGGGTACCGACACCTGGAACCGGCGCCCGTACCAACCCGCGCAGAGCCAGCCCCGCCCCAAGCGGAAGGGGGCGGCGTGCGCCTGCGCAGAGGGCAGCTCCGCGGACGCTAGTGCGCCCGTGCTATTGCCGGCTTCGCGGTTAGCGGTGGGTTCGCGCTCCGGGAGGTGGAGACGGGCTGCCACCCGCGTGTGAGGGACGCGCCAGTTTTGTGATGATAGCGATGATGCTCTGCGATTCCTTCGTGTGAAGACACTGCCGTCCTTGTGTTTGAAAAGAGTGCGGGAACAGTGATGAGCGGAGGCAATTGGTGTGAGAGGGCACAGTTGTTTACATCCAGACCCACAGACTTACACACCCCTTGGATGGAACTGACCTGAAACAGGTTAATAGAATCCCTCGAAGCTCCCTTTTCCTGTGTGGAAAACAGGAGAAATAGTACCTCCATCTCCTAGAGTTGGGAGAATTGAACAGAGCACCCTTTATTTCACAAATGCTTGCCGAGCATCTCCATTGTTGGGCTGGGAGAACAAGACCCAGTTGGTTTTTGAGTTGCGGTTACAGTGAAGTAATAATGATGAAAGCAGTGAGCACACAGTAAATAAATACGACAGACTAAAAAATAATAGACAACAAAGCACAAAGCACACCATTTTTAAAACCAATGTTATAGCAAGTGATAAAAGGAAGAAGAGTCTTGCTCTGAGGAGTAGTGAGGTAAGCAGTGACCTAGTTGTACTTGCGCCAACACAGATTTGTTTGTTCTTTTGGCAGTCCATGGTATCTTTAATATTCTCCAGCACTGTAACTCAAAGGCATCAATCTTCTAATGTCTTCCTTATTCACTTTCCAACTTTTCCATGCGTATGAGGCTATTGAAAATACTATGGCTTGGGTCAGGAGCCCTTTAGTCCTCAAACTGACATCTATGTTCTTGAACATTTTAAAGAGGTCTTGTGCAGCAGATCTGCCTAATGCAGTAGGAGGGTTTGATTTCTTGACTGCTCTTTCAGGAGTGTTGATAGTGGATCCAAGCAAAATGGAATCTGACAACTTCAGTCTTTTCTCCATTTATCATGCTGTTGTATATTGGCTGTTATTGTAAGATTGTGAATTTACCTTTGTTGTTTTTAATTGAAGATTTGCACTCCTCTTAGTATCTCCCTTCTTGTTAAGTGCCATCTAGTCAGTTCCAACAAGTAGCGACCCTGTATAGGATTTCCAAGGAGCAGTTGGTGAGTTTAAACCTCCAACCTTGTGGTTCAAATGGACTTGTGATCCCACAGTGCCACACCAGGACTCCAGTATCTCCCTCTGCCTCTATACATTTTTAGTCAACTGTCTCTTACTGTATGTTGCCTTCCCTTCACCGAAGTTAACATGTGCCTAGCAACTGTGGCATCTAAGATGCTACTACTGGTCTCTCCTAGTCCAGAAGAAAGAAGAGTGATGTAAATTGAAGACACATGGAAACAATTAATACAGTGGACCACGTGACCATAGGTTTCCACAACGCTGGGGCCAGAAGAACTAGATGGTACCTGGCAACCAGTATCAACTGCTCTGAAAGACATCACATTAGATGGTCCTGGAAAGAGCAGAAAACAAATGGGAAAACTCAATGATAAAATAGACCTGCCTTACTGGTTGTTGTTGTTAAGTGCCGTTGAGTCGATTCCGACCCATAGTGACCCTGTAAAGGTTTCCAAGGAGCAAGCTGGTGAGCTTGAACCACCAACCTTGCAGTTCAAATAGCTTTGCAGTCTGATGCATTAACTCACAGCGCCACACCAGGACTCCCCTACTACTGGTTAGAGACTAGTAAACCTTCAGACTATGATCCTTAGTCATCCACCAGGTCAGAAACTGAAGTCGTCTCCGCACTTCAATTGGCACAACAAACAATTGCTGTTGTTAAGTGCTCTGGAGTCTGTTCTGACTCTTAGCAACTCTGTATCAGGTTTCTGAGGAGCAACTGGTGAACTTGAACTGCCAACCCTTTGGTTCAAACTGACTTTGCAGTCCAGCGCATAACTCTCAGCGTCACTAGGACTCCTAGTCAAACAAGTTGTTGTTAAGTTGTTAAGTGCCGTCAAGTTGGTTCTTACCCATAGTGATCCTGTATAGAGTTTCCAAGGAGCGACTGGTTAGCTGGAACTGCCAACCTTACAGTTCAAACTGACTTAGCAGTCCAGTGCATTAACCCACAACACCCCTCCAGGACTCCAGTCAAACAACAGACAGGGTTATAAACAAACAATAACACTAGTGAGGTACACACTATAGAATAATTAACAATTTGAGATGTAAAGGACATTTGGGATAATTTACCCAATGGCAAAGTTCACAAGGGTTAGAAAATAAGGAGGAAAGGAAACAGAAAACACAGGGAGGAAATGGAATAAGTGCTGTTACATTGAGGGGATCGTAATCATTGAGATTAAACAAAATGTGTAGGAATTATTGACTGTAAAATTGACAATCTGCTATGTGAATCTTCACCCAAGTCACAATAAAAACTTAAAAAACAAAAGTCCAAATCATGGTCTCAGGCCTATCAATTTCTTTTTTCTCAGTAGCTGGGACATTCCTTAGTGCTTTGGTGGTCCTCATGTGGTGGTTGTCTTCCCTGTGTGTGTGTCTCTGGGCTTAACCTCCTCTTTGTACAACTGAGTTATTCAATTCAGAACCTACCCGGTTTGAGTATGATATAGTTAATGTAACAAAGAGAACCCTGTTTCAAAACAGGATTATGTCACTATACAATGTTGTTGTTGTTAAGTACCACTGAGCCCTTTGCAACTCATAGTGACCCTATTTAGGGTTCCTGAGGAGTGCCTGGTGAGTTTGAATCACTGGCCTTGTGATTCAAACTGCCCTTTTGGTCTAGTGCTTATCCTACAGCGTATTACCAGGACTCCACATCTATAAGCATAGGGGTTAGAGTTCCAACACATATTTTGTGTGTTTGTGGTGGGGGATTTGTGTGCACAATTCTTCTATAGCACAGACAGATTAAACGTAAGGGATAGAGAAAGATCAATTATGCAAACACTAATCATAAAAAAAAAGAAGATGCCAGAGCTATATGAATTTCAGACAAAGCAGATTTCAGGGCAAATGAAATGATCAGGGATAAAGAGGGGGATTGCAATAATGACAAAGGGGTCAATTATCCAAAAGATGTAACAATTCTTATGGCATATGCATGTAGCAAGGAGCATCAGAATACTTGAGACAAAAAGTGTTAGAATTGTAAGGAAAAATAAACACATTCACTATTATAGTTGGTGACTTCAACACTCTTACTGGAAGATCTGTTGTTGTTGGAGTGTGCCGTAGAGTCAGTTCCAACTCATAGTGACTCTGTATAGGGTTTCTGAGGATATAAATCCTTATGGAATCAGAAAGCCTCATCTTTCTCCCATGAAGTGATTGGTAGATTCAACTACTGGCCTTGTGGTTAGCAGGCTATCTTGTAATCCAGTGCAGTACCAGAGCGCCTTACTGACAGACCTGGTGGTGTTGGTGTTGGTGGTTATGTGTTGTGGACTTGCTCACTGATGGATCTAGGAGACAGAAAATCAGCAAGGAATAGTTGAATTAAATTACATCATTAATCAACTGAATCTAATTGACATTTATAGAATACTTCATCCAACAAAATACCTATTCTTCTCAAGCTTACACTGACATTCCCAAGATTGACTAAATTCTGGGTGATAAAATATTAACAAATTTTGAAAATTAGAAATCATTTAAAGTATGTTCTCAGACCACAGTGTAATTAAACTAGAAATCCATAACAGAAAGATAGCTGGGAAGCCCCAAATATCTGAAGATGAAACAGCATACTTCTAAACAACACCTGGTTCAAATAAGAAGTCTCCAGAAAAATTAAAAATTATTTGAACTAAAATGAAAATTTAAATACAACTTTTCAAAATCTGTGAGATGCAATAAAAACAGTGCTTAGAAATAAATTTATAGTGTTAAATGCTTATATTAGAAAATAAGAAAGAGCTAAAATCAACCATCTAAGCTTTTGCATTGGTGGTAGTGGTGGTTTTGTGCCGTGAAGTCGGTTCCGACTCATAGCAGCGACCCTGATTAGGGTTTCCAAGACTGCAAATCTTTCACAGGAGCAGAAAGCCTCATCTTGCTCCCGCAAAACGGCTGATAGATTTGAACCACTGACCTTGAGGTTACCAGCCCAACTTGTAACCATTACGCCATTAGGACACTTGAAAAAGAATTAAGAAAACAAAATAAGAGGAAATAATAAATATAGAAACATGAATGAACAAAACTGAAACAAAAAATAGAGAAAATCAGTTCAACCAAAAGCTAGTTTTTTGAAGAGGACAATAAAGCTGATAAAACTCTTGCCAGCTAACTGAGAAAAACACACATTTCTAGGACCAGAAATAAGATAGAAGTCAACACTACTGATGTCATGGATATCAACAGTGTAATTTTAAAAATCATGAAAAACTCTATACTAGTAATATTTGGTAACTTAGATGACACGTATCAAGTGCTTGAAAAGCAAAATCCACCAACGTCATAGAAGGAGTAATAAGTAATCTAACTAGGTCTGAGCTTATTAAGAAGAATGGAATCAATAAACAATAAATTTTCAAAAAAGAGAACTAGTTGCATATGGTTTCACTGGTGAATTCCACCAAGCATTTAAGGAAGACATGATACCTATTCTTTCCAATACCTTTCAGAAAAAGCAGAAAAAAAACACTCCTCAACACACCTTATGACACCAGCTTTACCCTAATATCAAAACTAGATAAAGAAAGGAAAACCACAGTCCAATATCTTTCATAAGCAGGAATGCAAAAATTCCTCATTATAGCAAATAGCATTC